ACACACACACACACACACACACACACACACACACACACACACACACTTAATTATTTAAAAACAAAATCCCTAATATGGATTTAAAAAATTAACTTCTTGTCTTTGAGTCTGCTAGTTCCACTCTAAAACAAGTCTTTGGGTCATTGTGAAGTTCTATAAAAGGAAGAATGAGAGCCACATCTCTTGAGTTTAAAACAGAATGAAAGGAATGAAACTCATGGTTAGAATATTAATCATGATCATTGTGTCCCAGGTTAAATTTATGGAGTAGGTGTTAGAAAGTTTGTATAACTGCTCTTGATCATAGCTGTTTTCTTAGTTGAGTGGCTTTTTAATTCGTGATACTTTTATCTTCTGGAAATTAAGAAAACGGTTATCATAAGGAGAAGGGTGCAAAGTGATCAAAATCTCCAATTCCCAATCAAGTGCATTTTTCTATTTCTTCCTCTAATGCATAGAATAGTAGAGGGTGGTGGTGGTGGAGGTGGTAGAGTTTGTGTGTGTTAAGATTTGGATTAAAGTCTGTGGCAAGCTTCACTATTAAAAAGATTGGGTTACCCACAGAGAGAGACTGTCCTGTAAATACAAACCTATCAGAAACAGCTTCCTGTGACACCAGCTTGACTGGCATGCAGCTAATGTCTTCTCTTTTTTTTTTTTTTTTTTTTTTTAATTTTTTTCTTCTTGAATATAATTTGTTCTGAAGTGTGTTTTATAGACATTATAATTATTAGCTCATTCACATTACTTACTTGGCTCTCAAGGAGACTGTGAGTGTGCACCTACACTGGCATGTGGTATTGTTTCTTTATACTCATGGCTGCTCCTGTCACCTGTAATTAGGACAATCTGTTTGGTTCAAATCAAGAGTGAATTACTTATAAGAGGTCTTTGGAAACTTGAAATTGTGAACCTTTTTCACATTTCCTTCAACAAAAGTCTGAATGACTAAAGGTCTGTTAGAGGTGAACCCCCTGCCCCAATAATTGGGTCTTGTGTAGATAGAAATTACCTATGTATTTGTTACAACAGAGAATTATGATAAATAAGGAGAGTGCCCCTCAACTCCCCTACATCCTGCTTTCTTGAATAGATTGCCAGATTCTCAAAGGTAACATCAAAAGCAACAATCCAAGAGATATATAAGCAAACATTTATTGTGCTTCATTCTATTGAGACCAAAACTCAACTAATGCCTCCATGCCTTTTAAATGGTTTTGTAATAGCATGATCAGAATCTCTGTGCTGGCTCACCTATTGTCTTTCCCTCCCTTCCCCATCCCCCTTTTCATCTTTCTTATTAGGTTATGTGGTAGTTATCCACAAGAGCTCATAGTGCCTGCCTGGATCACTGATAAAGAGCTAGAAAGTGTAGCAAGCTTCAGGTCCTGGAAACGTATCCCTGCTGTTGTCTACAGGTAAGTGTAAGATGGATTAGCCCCAGCTTTGGTTGGTGCTATTGCTTGTTCGTTACTTGTGGTCTGCTGTCTCTGCTGTTGCTAATCTAGGGAGGGAACGGAACTTTCCAGGCAAGTCTGTGCTTCCTTATTGCTAAAGCTGCTTTTCTAGTAACACACTGATAATGCATCCTGTGCATTAGCTGGTGATTCAGTTGACAGTGATGAGAAAATTTTAATAGAAAAGCAGATGGACTTGTTATTTCAAGATCCTTCCTAGTTCATTCTGTGAGAAGATCATGTGCTGGTACTGCATTTAGCTTTAGATATTAGCAGGGCTTTTGGATTGAGAGAGGTGAGTCCTAGAAATTGAGTCTTGAGAATAGTGTTGAATCATCTGTGATTATCTTTGTAATTGACACTTTAGCATGAGGAAGAATTTTGTTTTGAGAGAGAGAGCATTTAGAGAAAAAGGGTGGGGCTGAACTTGGTTGAAGATTTCAAATATCCAAGCTGTGAGAACCAAGGAATGCAAGTTCTGGAAGGAGATGGTAGAATGGTGATGGAGTACAAGTTTTGGAGACACAGACTGGAGGTCAAGCCTATTCTGACATTCTTTGCTGTGCCCTTGAGTAAGTCTCCTAGCTGACCCCAGTCTTTTCCTAATGAGTAGAAGGGGAATGATAGATACATCTTACTTTGCAGATGTACTGTGACATCTGAATGAGGGCCTATAAACACTGAGCTTCTTCTTTAAGAAATGTTTGGAGCAGATTGTAGATTGTATACTTGAGCCCTGCTTTTATAATTCAGTGACTATCTCAGTTTTTACACTATCATGTTAAAATTTCTAGGAAGTAATTATTACATCCTATAGCATTCTCCATTTCATTTTTCCACTTTACAGACTAATTGGTCCAAGTCAATGGATTAGTTAGAAACTCTCTGATGCCAGGAGGCATTCCACTGAAATATCGAGGTTGTAGGAAGGGATTTCTCTCCTTGTGGAGATCTTATGGAGATAACCAGATTTTCATTTAGTTCATTGAAGGCAAATTCTGATGCTCACCCTGAATACAGATGGAAAGATTTTTGCTATGGCTCAGTAGAACCCATTAAGTTTTCAATCTCAGTTTTCATCACTCTTATTTTCAGACAGTCCTAAAATAGTAGGTCACCAAATTTGCCTATCACTCAAGTGGTAAGGATGACACAAGAATTGGAGAGCAGTAAAAACTGAAGGGATTTATGACTCTTAATCAATGATCAGCCCCATTAGAATGGGGAAAGAAGCCAGCCATTGCTCTGGCCAGCAACTGCTTTAGAGCAGGCATTTACAAGGATTGCTGGCTTTGAACATAAGGGGGAAGTACTCTCGTTTTCTAAGTTAAAGGCTGTGATTGAATCTCCCTTTTGGCAGAGAAGCCTAAGAATACTAGTTGAAGAAAAACTAAGAGTATAATAAAAATAAGAAGCCTTTTTTCTTTTCTAAAATTTGTTCTAGAGGGCATGAACTCTAGAGCTTTTTTCCCTTTATAGAGACCATAAAAGTGAAAACTCTTATAGTTTTTCAGAGAAAGTCTCTCAAAAGATTACAAATGAAAGTTCATGGTATAGCTTTTGTAAAGCCAGATAGATTTTCTGGAACTGGTTGTTCTGTCTCAGAACATATATCTTTTTTAAAAAAATATATTTTAGTTATAGTTGGACACAATACCTTTATTTTATTTATTTATTTTTATGTGGTGCTGAGAATGGAACCTAGCAGCTTGCTCATGGTAAGTGAGTGCTCTACTGCTGAGCCACAATCCCAGCCCCAGA